TAATCTCATTTGTAGCAGTGCACTTTTTTGTGATTGTATATGCAATTTCGTTTGAATCCTGACTACCCAGAAAAATTTCATTTTATTTACAGATAATACATTATACATTTATGTTTTATTGCATTTCAGTGTTTTTGCAATAAACCTTTTTATATTTATGTTACGGTTACGCTTGCTATATTCAAGTAGGCTATGTTTTATTACCTGGTACCCAAATAATTTTTATTGGCATATTCTCTCACTCTTTATAAGCATCGTATTATGTCGTCAGAGTCATTAGCTTCATTAGATTTATTTTTAGTTTTAGCTACCAATATAATATGTGTCACTTTTTACCTAGAAACCAGTTCTTCTATTCATATGTTGGACGTTTCAATAGTGCTTGTAACAAGCTTACTTGAATAAAGACATTTTCATTAAATTATTATTCATTCATTGATATATGCATAAATGGACATGTTTGTCATATTTAAAAAATACGTTGTAAGTTATTATGATGTACCTGTTACACAAATCGATATCACGTTACAAAAAACACCCCGTAACAGGTTATTTACCATCTATCACCGTACTTGAGGTCGTTACTTTGATAGGAAATACAATAGAAGTAGAGAGTTGTTTACATCCGGGCTCGTAATTTTTGTGCACAGCAAAAAAAACTGTTTGTCGGTCACTGGCACCGCTAGTAATTGTTGCTAGCGTTGCCATGCGTTCGGATAAAGACGGACATAGTCCAGGTAGTTCGTAGCGTGGGCTGCCCACGGTGGGCAATCATATTAAACGTTTGTCTAGCTTCACTGGTCGATGACGTCCGCGTGCAGGTTGCGCACAAATTCTGTGGCGTGGTTTCATTGGTCGGTTATTGTTTTATTTGTACCCTAATAGTGGGAACATACAGAGGTAGACAGGGCCAGTGTTTAAAATGTATCCATTTTATTATTGAACCGTTAATTATAAAGAACACTGATTAATTATTTTTTTTTTCTTTAAAATTTAAATATATTTTATTTTAAAAAACAAAAAAGTATATTTCGCTTTGAAAAAATGTTTTTATTTACAAAGATAACCCAATCTTTTTAAAAATACCTTTTTTACTCAAATGTCCGGCTAATATATTGCTATAACTACTCGGTTACTATGGAAACACATCGCTGTCCGCCTTTTTGTTTCAAGACTTGGTGACCCTAATTGTTGCACTGTTCACTAGATGGTGATGTAACGTACGCCAACACTAATAGGAAGATCACGAATACTGCCCTTCAGATTTATGGGAAAGTTATGGGTACGCAAACTGGCGGTTGTAATGCCCACGGTCCTAATACTCGTAAAATGTTATGATCGGCTACGTTTAACGGACGGTTTACGACCCTGTGTTAAACTGGGTAAGGATGAATATTCCTAATATTAGTAGCGTATTGTGAAATTGAAGTTATTAATCATATCCGTACTTATAGTAATAACAAAAAGGTTGTTTTTATTGTCCCGGCTTAGTGAATTTTGAATGATTCACGATTCTAAACTAACTCCATGTCCTTATCACCTTTCCACAAGCAAACCTGTAATGATTGTAATGTAAATAATTTAAAGAAAAGAAAAACAACTGTCTTCCTAGATATCAACATCATATTCAGCTTCAGACATCAAGACTTTCTATAGTCTATTCCATTCATATATATTTATGGGAAAAGCGATTCCTAATATTTTACCTAATATATAAAGTTTAATAAACAAACAGAATACTTGTTCGTTTTAATTATACCTCTCGCTGGCACACGGTGATTAAAACAATGGCGTGACCATCCGCATATTCCTCGGTCCGCAGTCACAGTTTGCTGCTCTTCAAGAATTTATGGCCTTATTATGGCTATCTCATTTAAATCCCTTCAATGTTTAATGAGATATTGCTGCGCTGGAAGCTATAAGATCTGCTCTGATTATTTTATTTCCTATTTTAATATTCATTATGAAAATAAAAATAAATATGTCCATAAATTCAATGAAACCTGTGAAGAGCAGTTTAATCTGCCAAACTAATACTTATTTTATTCTTTTATATTTGCATTATTAAGTTCGTTATCTTAACATTATATAAAGAATATAAAATCCAATGAAGAAACTTAATCTAGTGCCCTACTTATTTTTGATTAGCTATTCTCCCGCGACGTCGATACGACCTGCGTTTGATGTAGTTTCCCGATAACTGAAAACTAAGATATCTAGCAAGTTTCAGACGCAGTCGGAACCTACAAGAAGGTGATTCTCAAATGTCATCCTTTTTTTATTGTGAATTTTTATTTTAATAATATTAAACAACATACATTATACACCATACAAAACCTATAATTATTTGTAATAGGCACCAAATATTATTGAGGTTTTAGCGATTTAAAAATATTTTTGAGCATAGAAATTAGATATAGCACAAATAAATTATATTTAAAATAATAGTAAATTAACCAAAGCACTTAGAAAAGTGACTAAAGAACTTGAAAAGTGACCAAGGAAATTAGAAAAGTCACCAAAGAACCGAGACAAGTTGCTGAAGAAATAAGAATGTGTACATAAACTTAGAATTTTAAAATAATTAAAATAATCAAGCTTCTTAATAATAAGCTATTGCTGCTTTAGATATTAAATAATAACTTTTCCACTTCATATCCACCTAATTTGTGTTGTGGATTTGCTAGTGTAAGTTATTTTTCTAATTTCTTTGTATCGAATCAAATTGCTTCGGCGCAATTTGTCATAGAAATTATATGAAATCCGATGAAATTAGTGGTAAATAAATTAAAAATCACTTGTTTTTTTTTAAGAAACCTGATGAATGTTCCTGACTTTTTAGTACAATCATATTTGACTATGGAAATGGGCACAAAAAATATCCAAGCAATGAATACAGATAAAAACGTGTAATGAGTAATTAGGTAATTACGTGAAAAAATGTAGAAGAAAAATTTTTTTCTCGTCAGTCCTGGCACTTACGCACATCTACTCTGGTGGCTCAACGTAGTGTGCCTCGGGAAATGCAGGTGAAGATAAAACGAATATTCTATAGTACTTAAAAGTAGTGTTTTCATATCGTTTTTGTCGCGCCAAAGGAATTAGTTAAGGTTTGCCGGACAAAATATATTGGTGTAATTGTACAAAACTATAAGACCCTTAGTTTTAAGTAAAATATATTTTGTATCACTTCAACCACATACTTATATGAACGTTTTAAAATAGTACGGCCTTTTTATTTGGAAACGCGCTAGAGCGCTTAGTATTTTGGAATTCAAAAAAATATAATCGATAATATTAAATGCATGTTAACTGATTCATTGTACGTATACTTACATACTGTTTCGAAAAGACCTGTTGTGCACTGCCGGTACTCGCGAAAATCACCACTCTACACGTTTTATCAAATAACAAATGCTAAAGTACCAAACTGACCTTAATTAAACTGAAACGTCTTATAATTTTTGAGATTACTATTTTTGTTTTCGACCATTTTTCTTTCGCCTAGCTCTTAGTGTATCAAGATTCGTATCTTCAGTTGGTAACGATTGATGGTTCGTTGATGGCAACGCTCAAATACTGTTACTTTCTACTGGCGATGTGGCGATGATTGAAGGGTATTAGCTAATGGTCAACAGGAAACTGCTATTGTTGATGGATGCAAAAACTATTAAATGTGTATCGTTAGATCAGCTATTTCTGATAGTTGAAAATACATGAATGATTCTGTTTCAATACTTATAAACAAACTTGTTGCTTCATAAATTTTGCGTGTTTTTTATACATTTTCATTCATTTTAATAATGAGTAGATTTTTTCGAGTTTTATTATTATGTTTTCTTATTTATTTTGTAAATACTTAGAACAGTTACTTCAATATGTTTAAAACTGTTAAATAATAATAAAAAATCATGTCCTTGAACCTCGGCAAATAAATAAAGATCGATCATGAGTTAGCAATAACGAGGTCACCAGGCAGCGTTCTGATCTGGTGACGACATCCGATCTGCTTCCGTGAGGACACGCTGTTCGATGTGGAAAAAAAATTTACCACAACATTAACTTATGATGTTACGTAATAATGATTCTGTGATCTGAAGATTAATCTTAATTTTAAAGTCATTTCTAATAATTCTTTAACATTTCTAATTGTCATTAACGTTCAGACTTTTTAGGGAAATCATCGTTTATTTATTAAAAGTTTAACTTTCATACTCGTGAAAGTTCACTGTCATCAAATTTTACTTCAGTTTTAGCATGTCATACTTTATCAGCATCATACATTTGAAGATTACGAATTTTGTTGTGGTAAATATTTACCGAGATATATTTGTATAGTTATTCCAGAAAAGTATAGGCTGTATTGATAATTGTAGGTTAAAATGATAGAATATTACAACGGACTGTGAATACTGCCATGATTATACTTTTGCATCTCATGCATCGGAGATGAAAGCTTCGATACGATAGATAGTACAAAAATGTAATCATTATCTTTTGAACCGTTACGATTTCTCGAGTATCAGAGTGTAGAATTACTAGTTGGCGTCGATATTTATTATTATAATCAAGTTTAATTGATTATTGAGTTGACAGCGCAATTAAAGTTGAAGAGTATTAAGTCTAAACTTTGAATAATTAATCAGCATCATCTCAGCTACTCCATATAAACCATAACTCCTCAGCTAATATTTGAGATTAACTTGTAGGTGATCAGAAAAATAGTAAGTCTGCATTTTTCTATAAAAATACGGTAGCAAGAACCTCTCATATTGTAATTATGATTCATACAATAATCATCTCCGCATTGGAAAATATTTGCACAAGTGAAGTTACTAGGTAACCTGACCAACATGCGAGTTTCTTTTAGCATTGTTTTGCAAGCATGTATCCTGTTAAAGAAATATTGCTTCTCGTTGACAATGGACAATAGTGTGCGTTTATTTTAAGCAGATCTTACTTTTTACAAGTTTTTAACTTTAACTTGAACATAAGCAAACATGACGAAAGCTACTAAAAGTATTCTGTGGTATTTGGTAATCTGATCACAACTTTGAGTGCGGACGGGTGAAGACTAAACGTGGCCATTAGCCTTGTCGGTATCAGTTGAAAAATCAGCTAACGTTTCCATTTATGGCTTCCCTGATACGATACGTTTATATGGAAGGGTTGGTCTGAGAAATGAGGGTTACGCAGGGTTGTATTTTAGGCCCACTTTTTCATTATTAGCTTCACCAGATATATATTTAATGTGTATACTTTATTTATTTAATCTTAATTGCCTAGTGAAATAGACAAATAGCGGACTTAATGCCAAAGAGGCATTCTCTACCAGTCAACCTGTAAATTTAGTACAATACTTAAAGTGGCGATTGGCGACAATACACTATTGATATCTCTGCATAAGAACTATATCTAAATATACATAAAATACATACAATAATAAACATACATACAGATACATAAATAAATGTATATACATATATAGGTATAACACAAAGTACGAAAAAGGTGAAATCTTTATTCTTTATCGTATTTTTATTATAGTTTATAGTGTCATTAGTTTTTTATTCTGTGCAAACATAGCATACATGAAAAGAAAATATTAAGCGTTCCATATCATTAGAGCAGTAAATTTCAATACATCACGCGTAGTGGCTCGATATGAGCTATACCGTAATCTTAGACCGCAAGAAATCTAATATGCTAAGGAACTGTTTCTGTAGGTAATGTTTGGATCGCGTTTGCACAATGCTTTTGCGTTGTACACGATTAACTGTATGGATAACAGCTTTTCATATTCAATATTAGAAAATGAAAGGCTACTCGTGAAAATTATATTAGTGTTTTATTAGTTCTGTAATTAAAACAAAGCTAATGAAAGAGGAAGTCATTAAAGCAAATAGAATTTCCGTTCTATCAAAGGCCTTACTTAAATTATTAAATTACGAAATTAATAGGATATAAGTATTAATAGAGGAACTAAACGTACAAATACCCATTATACTTAAATTGTACTCTATTATATTGAAAAAAATTTACACTATTATACTAGTAATAGAATATTTCTGGGAAAAAATATCTAATAAAAATATTTTGTGCTATAAATTTCGCGTGTTCGCAAGATATAAAAAGGCAACCACTGAATTAAATTATTTTGTTAATGACAGGAGTTAGAACAACATTATTACAGCCAATGTCATTTTTTTGTACGACAACTAAGTGGTAATTAATTTGTTTAACCGTACACTTAAAAACGTGATAATGAGTTTCCTTAATTTTGCTGTAGGAACAGGTATATCGGATAAAGATAAGATATGAGCCAATCAAATAGAATTATCCTCGAAGCCAGTGTATTCAAACTCAAGCACTTATGTTAAATTTAAAGGGACGCTGAATGTTGAAATATTAGAAAAAAACCACCATTTCTTTCGAACTGACATCAAAGAAGAAAACGTCAGAAATTTATTTTTCTATAATCCTCTTTAAAAAGTTTTATACTAATTCACAACATCCTCTGAGCGGCAAAAAAAACTTAAATATAACTTAAATATAAAATAAATCACCAAATGAATCTCAGAATAATATAACAAAGCAATGCATAACATCTCTATGACTACAATACCTTCTTTTGAAATTCGAGTTACAAAGGGCGTTGCTAACGTCATTTAATTATAAAAATAAAATATAATATTTATTAAGGTAACATACAGACTTTAAAATATAACAATTTCATTAAATTCATAACTCTGCAAGTACCTACATTTCATCAATATAAGTTTTATAACTTAATACTTCCTTGACAGACAAACTTAAAACACAACCTTTATTCTTATTGAAAATAAATTAAAAGAAAACAACTTCATTTTACAATTAATAAATAGTGATAATCTTACTTATGGAATAAAATAAAACAATAACTTAAACGTATACATCGAACCTACTTGGGAGTCTTACCTTCCTGCCGAGACGCGTAGTCTTCGTTGAATGGACTGTCACCCCACGTCTAGTAGAGTCTGCTGTGTGATCTGATTCTTTTTCGCCTGCAGGGTCGACTGAATTTAATAAGGTTCGATCCTCACCTGATATTTCCAACTTATAAAGTCTCTGAATGGCTCTTACTTTCACCCCAGATGCTGTTTTGATTCTCGCCGTCCTCACAACCCCATCAATACCTGGAAGTAAATCTTCCACTATTGCTAGAGGCCATTTAATCCGTTTTCCATCTGCTTCGACTAAAACGATATCCCTTTTCAATCCTATCTTTTTTCTCATTACCTTTCTGCACCAGAAAAGCAAGATAGTCCGCCTTAAACCTCTGACGAAATTGATCACGCAGTTCCTGCAAATATGTCAAGCGCTTATTTAGGCTCGTTCTATCGATCTCATCAAGATCCACAACATTAGAACTTGAAATTGGCTGTATAAAATAAGCAGGTGTTAAAGGTTCCAAATATTCAGCCTTGTCATCGTTTATAAAAGTAAGTGGTCGTCCATTCATAGTAGCCTCGCAGTCACATATAATGGTATGTAACTCTTCATGTGAAACTGCTGCATTACCTAAGACTCGACGAAGTAAGTCTTTCATAATCCTAATTAATCGCTCCCAATAACCGCCCCACCATGGAGCTGCGGGTGCGTTCATTTTCCACGTGATACGTTTCACAGTAGAATATTTTTGTATGTCATTCCAGTCTTATTTAGCCAGTAAATTCTTCGTGCCGTGAAAATTTGTTCCTTGGTCGGAGTTAAGCATATTAATTCGCCCACGTCGCGCTATGAATCTTCGCAGAGCCGCGAGTGATATCGCGATCTTCAAATGAACAGCACGATAAACGGCACATGTGAATAAGACAATCCAGCACTTTTTGCCATTTCGTAAAAATAATGGACCTGCTAAATCGACACCAGTCGTCTGAAATGGAGCTGAGCATGTCACGCGCTCCAGAGGCAATGGTGCAACAGGAGCTATAGTTGGCTTCGCTTTGTGTCTCTTGCAAACAACACAGGACATGATAACCTGTCGCACGAGCCTTCGTATGCCAATGATCCAAAATCTAGACCGAATATCTGCAATAAGTTGATTTGCACCAGCATGTTGTAAATGAAGGTGACGTTGTCTCACTAACATAAGTACAACTGGATCTCTCGCTGGTAATAAATATGGAGATTTCATAGACTCGGGAAAATCTGATAATAACAATTTCGTTTTAATTCGAACCACTCCGTCACTGTCTTTAAATGTTACTAAATTTCCTGAACATTTATCTAAGTACTCCTTGTTTACCAATTGTATAAGTTTTATAATAAACTCTTCGGCCTTTTCGAATTCTTTTGATGTTAATTCTCCTTTCCGTTTATTATCAATATTTTTAATATTATATACAAATCTTAGTACCCAAGCAGTCATTCTAATAGTCTTTGAATATATTGAAAAATATTTCTGCAATCTACAAATAAAATTCTCATCCGTGTTTACATTTATATTACAAACTGTCTTTTTTGTTTCAGCAAGTACCTCTCTTTCGTTTACGACTAACTCCGAGTGGGGCCAGTCTGCTGGTGTTAATCGTAACCATGACGGTCCTTCCCACCAGCGACATTCAAATAACTTTTTCGCGTTACATCCCCTAGATGCCAGGTCAGCCCAATTTAGTTCTCCTGGAACATGGTACCAGTCACAAATATTTGTGTTTCGCCGGATTTCTTTCACTCTGTTGCCTACAAATGTGTTTAGAGAAAGCTCGCGTTTTACCCAACACAAAGCAACTTCAGAGTCTGTCCAGCAATATTCGGAACAGTTAGACAGTTGTAAACTATCTCTGACATTAGCCAGTAGTCGAGATCCTATCAATACAGCAGTGAGCTCCAATCGAGGTATAGTTATATTTTGTGACGGGGTTACCCTCGATTTAGCGGCCACTAACTGAACTGACACCTTCTTATCCTTCTCAGACCTTAATAAGACACAAGCACCATATCCTCTTTTACTAGCGTCACAAAATAAATGAAAACTAACACTACATTCACTCAAAATATCCACCGACAACCGTCTCGGTATAGAACATTCACCTATAAAATTTATATATTGATACCAGTCTTGAAACTTCATAAACAAATCTGAGGGTAATTTTTCATCCCATGGTATCTGTCGTTGCCACGCCTCTTGCAGAAGAAGTTTAGGCGTCAAAACAACTGGGGATGTGTAACCAATCAGATCAAATATCTTTTGAGCCACAGACAAAAGTTTACGCTTTGTGAGTCCTTCAATTTCGCTGAATGTAGGAAGACTACTACAATTGCAACATAACTCATCCGTCACTACATTCCAATTCAAACCCAAAATAGAAATCACACTCTTACCAACCTCATTTAGCCCTTCAGAAGATACCCACATTCTAAGATTAAACTTACCAACTTGCATAATCCGTTTGGCTTCAGAAACTACCTTAACAGCCTCATCTTTTGTATCGACACTAATCAAACAGTTATCAACGTAAAATGATTTATTTAATAGTTTCGCTGTACCACCTAATGGTCCATTCTCCATATAATTAAGGTGATATTGTAATGTAGCTGATAATAAAAATGGACTAGATGTGAGCCCAAATACGACTCTACAGTGTCTATATGTGACTAATTTCGTCATTGTATCATCTTCAAACCAAAGAAACAGACTTATTTGAAGAAAAGCCTTCTCAATGTCGGCTGTCATCCCTATGACTCCGACTCTAAAATTATTGATTAAATTGGGTATTTTATCAATTAAGTTATTACCCTTTTCTAGACACTTATTAAGACTAAGACCGTTTTTATCGATAGCTGAAGCATCAAAAACGGGTCGAATACTCGTCGTGAGACTTTGCTCTTTTATCACCGGCTTATGTGGTAGGTAATGTCCACAGTTGATAGTAGTATTTTTCGCTGTTTCAATAATTCCTAACTGCAACCACATTTTAAAAACATCGTCATATAACTGATATTTTCCGCTTGCAATCAACCGTCTAGTCATTGACTCTAACCGTTTATTGGCTTTCTCAAAATTCGGAGTTAAATCATCAAAATTCGTCTTAAATGGTAAATTAACTTCATACCTGCCATCGTCCAATGTTTTTATATTCTCTCGGAAAGTCATTAAAGTATCAGCGACACTTTCCGTTTTTGACTTTACCTCCGCTGGGTCTCTAATCCCAAGTGTCTCCAAAGACCAAAATTCTGTCAAATTATTATTATCACATGAGCAATAAAGAACAGATAAAACCTTATCAAATGAATTATTTATACTCACCGGTTTGCCCTGTAACGCCCAACCCAAGTTGGTTTTAATTGCGACTAGACCATCCTCCAGCTGAACTATAGTACCCGTTAACAGAAATCCTAAATAGTCCGCACCTATCAACAACCTAATGTCTGAGATGTCACCCTTGTCTGTCAGGGAGATATTATGTCTGACAAGCATATTTTTAATATTCACATCTCTAAAATTAATTTTTGGTATGTTATTACAAATAGTATTTAAGCTTATAACAGATACAATACAATTATACTAAATGTATTCTCTAAGGAATTCAACTTAATATTATATACGTTACGGTCTTGCGATTCAGTTTCATGTCCACCAAATAATGAAAAAGCTAACTTTTCCTTCGTTAAAGGTATCATACCTAATTTCTTTACAATATCTTCTCGTATATATGTGCGCTGAGAACCCGAATCAAGCAAAGTACGTACTCGTAATTTCTTACCACCACATTCTACTTCAACTATAATAGTTTGTAACAGAGTCTGTCCCTTTGTAAAAATGCTGGAAGAAAGCGCAGCAGCCTCATCTGACTTTCCTGAAATTACTGGGTTTCTCTCAGTCCTCTGATCTGTACATAAGACCGTAGAGTGGCGTTTCGCACAAATGAAACACTTGACGATCGCTCTGCATGCTTTAGGATGATGACCCTTTCTAAGACAAATGGCGCATGCTTTTTTGTCTTTTAGCATCTGGCGTCGCTGTTCCAATGACATTTTTTGTATTTTATAACATTCGAGGCTTCCATGTGTGCTTTTGTCGCACCATAAACATACGAGTTGTTTTTGTTTTATGTTTGATATGAGACATTCTGCAGTACTTGGTTTTCCAATTGACAAATCTTTTTGTTCCTTATTATTAAATGTTTCCCTTGACATAAGAATTCTTTGCTCACTTGCAACTTCTTTCTTCAAAAACTCTAACAAATCTGTTAATTCTTCGGACAAGTCTTTTGTCTTCTGCTTGTTTCTTTCCCATGTTCTAAGAAGCTCTTGGGGTATAGCAGATTCTACCAATGGTAATAAGATCGCGGCATAATTTTTAATAGTAAGACCTAGAGTTTCAAGCGCACGCAGTTGAGCGTTTAACTTATCGTACAAATGAGTTATTGAATCTTTCTTGTCTACTAGAATGATTCCCAAAATTTCTCTTACGTATATAAGTGTGAGTAAGTCAGTTCTCGCGTATCTCGCCTTTAACTGTTCTAAACATTCGTCATAAGTTGTTGGAGAAAAACTCTCGATCAATTCACGAACCTCCGAGTTTTCTTTTGCTGACTGTACCAAATATTGGTATTTATCAATTTTGTCCATTATTGGGTCACTATCAATTTTACTAAATTGACCCCAAAAAGGCAACCAGTTTTTTAACTCGCCATCAAAAATATGTAATTGTAATCTTGGCAGTTTTAGATTTCTGGCTTGTTGATTTAATTCTTTATCTATAATATCTGCTTTTTCCGCAACTTTAGATATATCGTTAAATTTTTTCTTAATACGCAGCCATTTTTCTTTATAGGTGTCAACTGATATAAGTTCTTCCTCTAAATCGTTTTCGTCAAATTCTTTACTTAAAATCAAGTTTTTTATTTCATTGTCTAATTTAAAAAGATTTTCCGTATGATCGCTTAGCTTTGTATAGCACACGTCTAAATCTACGGTTACCTTCTGGTCTAGCAATGTTTCGAAACTATTTGTGGTATTGGTAAAAAGTCTTCTCAACACAGTTCGTTCCTTTTTCTTATTTTGCAAATCCATTTTTATTACTAATAAATGCCTACGGTCGCCACAATGTTAAATTTAAAGGGACGCTGAATGTTGAAATATTAGAAAAAAACCACCATTTCTTTCGAACTGACATCAAAGAAGAAGAAAACGTCAGAAATTTATTTTTCTATAATCCTCTTTAAAAAGTTTTATACTAATTCACAACAACTTATAATTAGAATTTCGGTTTGGTTTTCAAAGTTTAAATAAAATCATATTCTTTTTAGTAGAGGCTTTTATTAGATATAAAAGTACTCATTTTAGTAAATAGAATAACGTTCACATATTTGAGTAGTCAGTCCTACATGATTTATTAATAGAGCATTTAAACTTCACAGATACATATTTATTCTGACCATTTTTTTCTTAATTGCATCTTCGTTTTCTTCAGAAAGAGTCCCGGACGGACGTGCAGTTTCATTTGGCAGCTCTACGAGGTGACTGTGATCGACTTCGGCAACTTCTGGACACTGGGAAGGTGCACATTGACTCCAGAGACAGGGTAAGTTCAATATGTTAATCACACGATTCCACCCTTAGCAGCAGGCAACTTTACACTTTTTTTAGTTTAATTATTTGTAATACATATTTGATTCTATACTGCAATTATCACTCACCTAAATTAAACAAGTCGATGCGTTCGAAGGCGTTGCATTTTTTTTTGGTACATTGTTTTATTACTTAATTTTAACTTACATTTCTAGATACTACCTATCTGGGCCTTAACTCTGCTAAGGTTAACGTTAATAATGGCATCTCATTATATTATCTACCAGAGGTCCCACATTATTAGCGAAATATCTTCATCACAAATCAATGGTGAGGTGACAGATGTGTTTGTTTTTTAACTCAAGGAGTTATAACAAAGACCCATCGACTTGCCTCAATTACTCATGCTAACATTATCATTTGCTAACTCTTATTCCAAGTGGAATTAATAGAGAAAGTATGTGTTCTATCGTAGGTGAGAACAAAAATATTTTACAATAACAAGAGATCTTGTTCTATAAATGATTTATTACAAAATAGCTTGTAATTGTCATCATTGCCTTTAAGTAAAGTGAACCAACTTTACTAATAACAGCGCCACATCGATCAAGGAAATTGTAACTTTAGGAACCGTAAGATTGAAGGTTGGGTCCCTACTTTGATGATGGAGACAACTGGCCAGGGAGACTAAAGAATACTTGTCTCCCTCCGAGCTAGGTGTTGTTAGCCCGGGGACCGCGGTCCAACCGATGTAGGTTGGACGTTCTATTTATGTTAATTGGTAATGAAACTTCTTCTGTGCGATGTAGGTTTCTTTGTTCTAAACGTTTTGTAGTTATTAATTTATGATGTTCGTATTACCTAGTATTATGAATTTTATCTAACGTGTTTGGATATAAACTACCGCATATAAAACCGTAGTCTCTGTTCCCAAACACATCAAATTCTATTTTAAACCAATTTTTGTTTACCTTGACCCATGCTTTCAATCGAGCTTCACCGAAATGCTCGCCTCACTTTCAGTTCATTATTTCTTTCTCTACCAGTATCGACTACCGTGTAATGCCCGCAGGTGTAAGATATAAGCGGCATGTTTCTTATGCTCTTGCTATTTTATATACAACAGAAAAGTGGTGGGCGACAGTTAATTACAAAGATTCTCAAAGTTGAACTCATAACCACTACGTCATCAAATAATGTGTGTGTACAAAAATATCTATAAATTTATGCCACTTTAAAAGCAGTTCTTCCGTTAGTCCTTCTGTGATGTTTGTTTGGAACAGTAGCTCGGTTTTTATCTGCTTCTTTTTTTTTTTTGAACCTATTTATATCTGTTTCAAGCTTTAGTTCCTATTTTCATTCAAACTTGGTCTCCAGTCGCTGCCGCTTATACTCTGTACCGATTGTTTTTTAATACCGAACATGATTTATTGTTCGCACGGACTCCCTACCAAAATGATGGCTGTTACATAATCTTATAATGAGGTTACCCAACGAAATATTTTGTCTGTATATTGCATAAGTTCTAACTTAATAATATAGAAACCATTGTGCACTTAAAAACACAACTAAGCACAAAAAACTTTCGTGTACAATTACATTTAGGTAATTATTATTTTATAACTTTTAAATATGGTGTTGGTATTTAGATCAAAGAAATAGGTATAAAGAAAACCTAACAACATTTTAAACTGATCTCATTAGGTGCGATTGATGAAATTCGACTAAATAGTCGTTCGAGTTGCCTTTCTTAAAGATATACTTTAAACGTTCTTTAAAAATAATAATTTCTGAATTTTGTTCAGCATTCACGTAACATAGTAGGTGATAAATAGCTATTTACTATGGCTGCGGTTAGAGTAAAGGACAGATTATCACTTCAAAAAAAGTTACAGTCGCATATTGAAATTCCGCTAGGAAACGCCTACGTTATACTTGATAATAATGTCAGATTGAACAAGGTACGATATGTCAACAGGATGGCACGACGCCTCTGATACTGTCGGCTGCAATGGGTCATACAGAATGCGTGCGTGAACTGCTCGCACAGGGTGCCGACCCGGCCTGCTGTAGAACGGTATGTATATAAATAACAGTGTATTTAGACTGAACAAAACTTGTGAAAGAACTTTATAAAATGTAAAATCAAGAGAAATTCCTAGCGGTGGGCTTTGCTCTTATATTAATGTCGTCTAGGGTAAACCTTATCCATCTCAACATAAGTGAAAAATCGAATCTGATCTAACTGACCTAGCAAGCTGAAGTGGCAATGGGAAAAGCACATAGTTCGAAGAACTAATAATTGTCGATGGACCTTGAGTGGAGGCCACAGACCATTACGGAAAATATAAGACTACCACTTAAAGCGTGAAAAGAAAACTTAATTGCTCATTAGATGTTTTGCCCATCTCACGGGTGGCTATTCACCTGCGGGATTGCGGGAACTCACTGGATGCAAGTCGCAAATTGGAGAGGAATGGGAAAGGCTTGCGTGGTTGAAATGACGGTGATGGTGATTCCTACATACATAATTACGTACTCTAATGCCCCTTTTCACTAAACTTAGGAGTCGCCCTAATTTGTCGCCTAAATATTTAGGAATCGCCTATGGTAAAAATGCATTTGCTAGGAACCGCCTAATGAAATTAAGCAATGTCTAAATTTATGATATTCGTTATGCGATTGGATATATAACAGGTCATAAATATGTCAAAGGGTAAAAAGAAAACAAAATTGAAATTAAACTAATCTGCTTAGGCGATTCCTAATATAAGGCGTTTCCTAGTTAAGCTATGCCTTGTTTTAGGTTAGTGAAAATGGGTGTAACTTTCATTGTTTTGTTCTTTTGAGTAGATAATTCAGAAGAATAAAAGTGTCCTGTCTAACCCTCAAATCATCTGAACATATTACTACCTTAAAAAAATACTTCAAACCATCTCTTCATTTCGATGTCACATAAAACAAGCACATACATTCACAATTTACACGTATAAGCATTAGGTATATGATGTTTCTAAGCCGCATGGTAATGTTAATGGCGGACCAGACAGGAACGAACGCACTGTTCTTTGCGGCGCAGGGCGGGTTCCTGGACATCGCGCGGCTGCTGCTGGACGCCGGCGCAGACATCGACGCCCCCAGCACGGTAACACTACACACCTTCACACTCATGTTTATGGAATCCAAGTATTTCTTATTCTTATTGGGTGCAAATATTATGATTTTACTTATCTATGTTATAAAAATATAGTTATTGGACCAGATCAAATATTGTTGAATTTTTGATGTAGTTAGGCAGTGCCGAATTAAGCCAGAGCGGGGCCTGTATCAAATTCAAACACCACCCCCCAAAACAGAAAACTCATTTATTGCTTTCCGAATAACACAACCCATTTGTTAGTTTATGTTCATACTTAAAAATATGAATAGTCAGAAGCGTGGCTTATGTACTTTTTTTTTGCATTATTTTGCACTGACTTGAAAAAAATATTAATTGGCTTTGAATCATAGCGAAAGTCCCAATTGCGCGGGGCCCGTAGCATTTGCTACTTTTGACGCGTGGCTAATCCGGCCATGTAGTTAGGCTAGGTAGTTATCCAATTATTTTGATCTAGAAAATTAAGTATCTTCGTAATTGCTGATAAAATCTAGGTAGGCGTTCAATTTTACAAATGTTTTATTTTAAAATTAATGTAACTGTTCAACAAATGATCATCGGATCATAAATAGTCTAGAGCTACTCTTTGACAAAAGTACTGTTACTTGTTTCCGTGGCACATTTTTAAGACTATGCTAGACATACGTCAATGTCATATGACAAAAAGTTACAATTACATGAATTTAGTACAAATATAGTATCAAGGTATTTTTCTTTTGTCTGGGCTATAGGTATTATTATTATATCTAGGCTTCTGCTGTAATTTTGTGTAGGAATATAAATTAATTAGTTATGTTGTTTATAATATATGTATAAATAAAATAAACGGCTCGTAGGACGGGGGCACGCCGCTGTTTGTGGCGTGTCAATGTGGACACCTGCCCGTCGTCGAGGAGCTGCTGCGGCGCGGCGCGGACGTGAACGCCTGCATGAAGGTCGGTGCATTGCTAATACATTATGTATGTTATTACTAACGACAGCTGCAGATGCTTATTTTAAAATATGGGTTTCAGTCGTTCACATAGTCATTTTTGTCGGTTGAAATGAGTTCCTCTACTTTTTTGAATGTACACTTATATTACAAGATTTCCTAACTTTGTTTGGAAGGGGTAATTTTCGGAACGGTCGACGTGTGCAGGACAAGGCGAGTCCGCTGTTCATCGCGGCGCAGAACGGGCACGACGACGTGTGCGCGGCGCTGCTGCGGGCCCACGCGCATGTGGACGCGCCGCGCGCCGACGCCGCCACGCCGCTGTGGATAGCGGCCCAGTGCGGGCACGACCACGTGGCCGCGCGCCTGCTCGCGGGGGGGGCCCGCGTGGACGCGCTCAGGCAGGTGTGTATACATACGGCCCCGACGCCGCCACGCCGCTGTGGATAGCGGCCCAGTGCGGGCACGACCACGTGGCCGCGCGCCTGCTCGCGGGGGGGGCCCGCGTGGACGCGCTCAGGCAGGTGTGTATACATACGGCCCCGACGCCGCCACGCCGCTGTGGATAGCGGCCCAGTGCGGGCACGACCACGTGGCCGCGCGCCTGCTCGCGGGGGGGGCCCGCGTGGACGCGCTCAGGCAGGTGTGTATACATACGGCCCCGACGCCGCCACGCCGCTGTGGATAGCGGCCCAGTGCGGGCACGACCACGTGGCCGCGCGCCTGCTCGCGGGGGGGGGCCCGCGTGGACGCGCTCAGGCAGGTGTGTATACATACGGCCCCGACGCCGCCACGCCGCTGTGGATAGCGGCCCAGTGCGGGCACGACCACGTGGCCGCGCGCCTGCTCGCGGGGGGGGCCCGCGTGGACGCGCTCAGGCAGGTGTGTATACATACGGCCCCGACGCCGCCACGCCGCTGTGGATAGCGGCCCAGTGCGGGCACGACCACGTGGCCGCGCGCCTGCTCGCGGGGGGGGCCCGCGTGGACGCGCTCAGGCAGGTGTGTATACATACGGCCCCGACGCCGCCACGCCGCTGTGGATAGCGGCCCAGTGCGGGCACGACCACGTGGCCGCGCGCCTGCTCGCGGGGGGGGCCCGCGTGGACGCGCTCAGGCAGGTGTGTATACATACGGCCCCGACGCCGCCACGCCGCTGTGGATAGCGGCCCAGTGCGGGCACGACCACGTGGCCGCGCGCCTGCTCGCGGGGGGGGGCCCGCGTGGACGCGCTCAGGCAGGTGTGTATACATACGGCCCCGACGCCGCCACGCCGCTGTGGATAGCGGCCCAGTGCGGGCACGACCACGTGGCCGCGCGCCTGCTCGCGGGGGGGGCCCGCGTGGACGCGCTCAGGCAGGTGTGTATACATACGGCCCCGACGCCGCCACGCCGCTGTGGATAGCGGCCCAGTGCGGGCACGACCACGTGGCCGCGCGCCTGCTCGCGGGGGGGGCCCGCGTGGACGCGCTCAGGCAGGTGTGTATACATACGGCCCCGACGCCGCCACGCCGCTGTGGATAGCGGCCCAGTGCGGGCACGACCACGTGGCCGCGCGCCTGCTCGCGGGGGGGGCCCGCGTGGACGCGCTCAGGCAGGTGTGTATACATACGGCCCCGACGCCGCCACGCCGCTGTGGATAGCGGCCCAGTGCGGGCACGACCACGTGGCCGCGCGCCTGCTCGCGGGGGGGGCCCGCGTGGACGCGCTCAGGCAGGTGTGTATACATACGGCCCCGATCTAAGCTGTTACATATTATCTGCAGACAACGAAAACAAACAGTCGCAGCTGGAGATATCGATTTAAATGTATTAAAGACAAACAAAAAAATTCTTAAACTCGCTGATAAACTTGGGAACACGAACTCAAGGTAAAAGCTCGTCATGCATCGACAACTTTATTACAAACATTGATCTCTGTAAAGGATATGTATTAGATTGTAAGCTATCGGACCATAATGTTATAAAACTAGTCTTAGAATATAAAGATGACCCATTAATTAAACCAGTAACTTACGCTAGAAAAATAACTAAAAGTAATATAGATTATTTCCTTTATTTATTTAATAAGGACTTCCTTATTAAATAAATCCATTTTAAGATCACAAATTCTTAACTGTGTAGACCCTAATCTAGGAATGGAAATTCTATTCGACGCAATAAGACATTATTACAATATGGCTTTTCCTAAAGTTAGAAGATTTTCAAAGAATACTTCGAAGAAATGGCAACGAAAGGCATACAAATTTCAAAAAAAAAAATTTGGAAAAACTACAAATATTACAAGACCATGACCCAAATGTTGAAACACAAATAAAAAGATATTAAAGAAGGTTATGACTGGGGCAAAAAAAATTAATACTCTCATAGAATTCAATCTTCCAAGAACAAAATTAAAGAAACCCGGAACATAGTTAGTGAACAAATACGAAGGAAAACCAGGTGTAGATCCACCGTGGCTCTTCTATATGTTGAGGAATGTCAGGGAAATAAAATTGAAGATTCCAATGATATTGCTAATTTATTTAATGACTTTTTTTTTCTGAAATTTCACATATTTTGACTAACCGCCTAGATAATATTTTAAAATTTTTACTAAGCCATCCACATCAATTAAATTTGACCTTATTAATTATAAAGAACTATGGACAATCGTTAAAAACATTAAACCTAAATTGACAATGGATATTTATGATATGAATACAGAAACTATAAAAAACTAATACTTAAAAATCCTAAAATTATGCATCTGCTGCTTATAGTGTTTAATAGATGCTTAAAAAGCGATGTATTTCCGGATTATTTTAAAATTGGCAAAGTTATCCCGTTACACAAAAAAGGAGAGTATTGTGCATTAAGTAATTATCGACCGATTTGCATTCTGCCAACATTATCAAAAATATTAGAGAATATAATAAAAAATAAAATCATCTTTTTGTTCCAACGCAATTTGGTTTCCGAAAAAATATGTCTACTGAGATGGCAATTAGAAAGGTCATTTATTTTATTCTAGACTCTCTGGACGAGTCACAGAAATGCGCGAGTATTTTTTTGTGACTTATCCAAAGCGTTTGATTGTCTTCGCCATGATAACCTTATTTATAAACTTATATATTATGGTTTCGAAGATGTAGAATTAAAAATGATGAAATCTTATTTATCAAAAAGAAAGCAAGTTGTTGTAGTAAATGGTGTATCTTCAAATTTAAAAGACGTTGATATAGGGGGTACCACAAGGCTCGATTTTAGGGCCAGTGCTATTTTTAATATATATAAATTATATTAAAAATAGCACAGCTTATTCGCTGATGATACTCATCTCGGAACAAAGGACAAGTCGCAAAATAAACTCGAGCAAAAAATTGAGATAGCTGTGATATTCTGAAGGAATGGTTTCAGGCTAGTGGCATATTACTGAATGATAATAAAAGTACAATAATTCATTATCAGGTTAGAAAACGGCTATCTGAGAACGTACTTGTTACAAATAATACTTTTCTAGGTTATACCTTAGACTAGGACTTCCCCCCTAAGGAGGCGTAGAGAAATGTTAGGGGGCGTGGTAGGTATGTTATAATGTAAGATTACATTTCCAAAAAAAAACAGTCATTACAGTTTTTAATATAAATGTTGACTTTTCAATGTGCAATATATTTTTTACCGTATTATATTAACATAAGTAATCGATAGAAGCAATAAAAAAAGCATATTCTCTATTGTTCCTTATTACCATTCTATCGCTGCTGTACAAGTTACAACACGACACGACTTTGGAAAAAGAAGATATCTGACGAAAATATATTTCCTTTTTCACGGCTGTCCGAAGAAATTAATAATCAAAAATTGAGTAAAAATTTGAAATCTGAAATAGAAACTCATTTGGAAGCATTGGAAAATGAATTTAATCGATACTATCGAGATATCAATTCCGAATCACCAATATGGCACATGACCAGAAACCCATTTGTTGTCGATGTCTTATAATTACCTGAAGAAGTTCAAGAACAATTTCTAGAAATGAAGGCTGATTCGACCATGAAAGATAACTTTCATCTCTTGACATAAGAAAAATTTTGGATCAAACGATTCGTTATTAATCCGAAAGTTGCTTCTCTTGCTTTAAAAATACTTATTCCATTTTCGTATACTTATTTATGCGAGGCAGGTTTTTAAGCAACTGGTTTTAATAAATACCAAGCAGCGAAATCGCCTTGCCGTCGATAGCGATTTAACCATAGCTTTAGCAAAGACTGAACCCAGAATCGACCAACTGATACAGATCATGCAAGCTCAAGTATCTCATTAGCTAGTACTTTAAAAGATTTTATTTATTTGATTAAAATTTCTTTAAATTAAAAGTTGTTTAAAAATTATCTATTATCCTTAATTAATATATTGTATCTGTATTCAACCTATTTAAAATACCTAAAAATAAATAATGTAATTAATAAATAAAATGTGCCTTTCTTATTTTTGTTGAAACTTACCTAAGGGGGGCATTAAAATACTATTTTTGCCCAGAGGAGGCTTGGCGAAATAAAGGTTGGGAAAGCCTGCCTTAGACCATACTATGAACCACTCTTTTCATATAAACAAGCTTTGCAAAAAACTAGCCAGTGCAAATTACGCACTACAAAAACTGAAGCCCGTAACCAATAACAAAAAATGTATTATGCTTATGTGCACATCCTATTAAGTTATGCGGTGACGGTTTGGGGAAATGCTTCTGATACAAATCGTGTACTAAAATGCCAAAAAACCGTGTACTAAAATGCCAAAAAACCGTGTACTAAAATGCCATTACCAATTATAAATGGTTTGCGCAAGCTTACGTCAGCACAACCTAATTTTAAACAAAACAAAATAATGTTAGTTATTTCTTTATACATTTACAAATGTTTAATAGAAATACACCATGATCGGGATACACATTTGAGAAAGATGGACATCCATAGCTATAATTTACGTAATAAGGAACGATTGTGTTTGCCTATAACAAGATTGGCAAAGGTACAAAAACATTGCATCTATAATTATATTATAATTTATAATAAACTTCCCCTCAGTATAACAAACATTAATGATGACGAATTCGAAAGAACTGATAAAAAAAATTTTTATTCAGCATCCCTTATACTCTTTTAATTTATGTCTATGCGTTTGGAAGAATATTCATTTCTACATAAAGATGGGTAAGGTAGGAAATTGACTAGATCTCTGTGGTAGATGACAAGATATAATAATCACCAATATTTTATGACATAAAATTATATATTACCCATATGTTTGTATAATCTAATTTGTGATAATCAGAGGTCGGAATTAGGTAGAGTTATTTATGTACTTGCATCGAAATGTTGATATTAATGTGGACCTTCCCGGGATTTCTAATGGACAATCCCGTGTGGCCAACAATCTTACAACTAAATAACAACGTCAAAGATAGACAAAT